CCCCTCTGGCTCCCAAGCTCACCTCTCAGATCTTCAACCACTATCCTGTCCTCCAGCTCTGCAATCTGGGAGGCCATTCCCAGCAGCAGCTGGTCCACTGCCTGGGCACTGTTCAGGTTGGCGTTCTGGAAAAAAACAATACATTCAGGGTAGGCTCTTGGGCCTCTTCCCAAAGCCTGGTCCCTATCACCCTAAAGCACTGCAGTCCCTCAGGACAATGGGTCCTTGGCCCGTCCTAGACTCTTTTGAGCTGTTGTCTCCACCTAATTTTCTGATCATTCTCCCCTTCATCTCCTACTAGCTGGAGCAGCAACACTCCAGAACTGGAATGGTTGCTTTTCCCAGCCTGTGTGTCAAGACTGACAATGACCCACCTCCCCCTGACCCGGACCCCAGGCTGACCTCCCGACGCCAGTAGCTGTTGCAGACTCTGAGAGCTGGGGAGCTGCCAAAATCCTTGTACGGGACCATCTGGAACTGACAGCTGGCATTTCTGAAATGGGGAATCAAGGATGGGATGAGAACTCAGGGAAAAAGCTGAGATGAGGTTGAGTGGGGTGAGGGACTCAGAGGAGTTTGGCCAAGACTGAGGACTGAGCTTCTTTGAACACAGCAGGGATGTGGCAATATGTGTGGATTGAAGGTATGGGTTGCTCTTTGTCCACCTAGAGTGGGAAGGGAAGGAGGGACAAGAGTACCCAGCTGCTGGACAAATCCTGCTCTCAGCAACTGAAGTTCAGCCATTAGGAGGGGTTGTTAAGTTTGAAACTCCTACCGCAGGGTCCTATTTAGGGTTCCAAATCTGCTTCTTTTCCCCATTAAACTGTGGAAATATATAAAAGGCTCCAGGCCCCCAAGGTCCTTGACCCTTCACCTCTGTCAGTGTGCTAAGCCTCTCCCACTGCCAGCCCCTCCCTCACCTCATGTAGACCCCAGGAGGCACCATGGTGGAGAAGAACTGCTCAGAGGCCACCAGGAACTCTGGGGAGATGCTGGGGTCCAGGAAAGGGCTGTATCCTGGGGGAAGGGGAGAAGAGAGAGGATAGTAACACTGAGCCCTTAAACCACCCACCCTCCCTCCCCCTCCCCAAAACTCCTGCTAGCTCTCCCATTCTCCCTCCCCATCCCCTTACCTGCATACTTCGGGGGTGTTTTCTGCAGGAAGCTGGGCAGCCACTCATACAAAACGATGTTCTGAGGGTCAACAGAGGGCAAAAGGGAGGCAAGTGCTGGAGCAGCCACGCTGGGAGGGTCTGAGCCCCAGGAAGGCTTAGGTGGGAGGTGAGGGCCAGGCAGGGGCAGTCAGCAGGGAGGCGACCCCAACAGGACAGGGGCGGACGCCTGTCCCCCACTAGGAACACGGGATGGGCGTGGGCTAATAACTAATAACCACAGCCAAGTCTCGTGTGTGACGCTCCTTTGCCTGCTCTTCATCCTCGGGGTCCATTCCTAGACGCTAGCTCCAGTTCTGGGGAGCAGTGTCCTCCCGGAAAAGGGCGCTTCTGGGGGCTGCTGGCGCGAGGATGGAGGGCCCTGCGGGGCAGCAGAGTCTCGCGCGCAGCCGTCGGGGGGAGGGGGCGGGGAGAGGGCGCGTGACTGACCTGGTAGGTGGCGATGACCCTCTTGCGCGCGTGCTGGAACAGCTCCTCGTCCCCCCACTGCGGGTGCTCGCGGGCCAGCCGCTGCGCGCACAGGTTGTGGTAGCGGAACCACAGCAGGCCCAGCGCCTGCAGGAACGGGTCGCGGTTCCCTCGCTCCGCCCCGAAGGCTGCACGCGACGCGGGGCCGCAGGGCAGGAGAGGAGCGGCGGTGTGACCACCAGCTTTGCCGCCCGCAGCCCGCGCCCCGCCCCGCGCCCCGCGCCCCGGCCGCCGCAGCCCGCCCCGCGGCCTCACCGTACAGCCCCCCGGGCCCGCGCTGTCCGGTGGCGGGGTCGGGCGCCGTCCACATGAGCAGGGGGCTTTGCGCGTTCCGGGGGAAGGCGGGGTCGGGCCCCGACGCCAGCTGCCCCCCGGAGAAGCTCCGCAGCGCGTCGCTCCACGAGTGCGAGGAGCCATAGATGGCGCTGCCGTCCAGCCAGCCCGTCGCCTCGTTGGTCTGCGGGGGGCACCGCGAGGGTGAGCCGGGGGTGAGCCGGGGGTCGGGCAGCGGAGGCGGGTGTCGGTGCGCCAGGGGGTGGGAGCCTCTCTCCCTGCCCCGCCCTGCCCTGGCCTGGCCGCGAACCCGGGACCCCGCCCGCCTCGTCTCACCAGGTCCCGGGGATTACTGGGGCTCTGTCCGGTCTCGGGGTCCCAGCGGCTCCTCTGGAACGGGAGGACCACGTCCCCGCGCCGGTCGGGGTCGAACACCGGGTCCCCGGGCGGGATGTGGATGTTGAGGAACTCGGCTGGGCAGCCGGGGGTCTCCACGCTCACCAGGTCCGAGAGCACGTGGTAGCCTGCGGCCATGGGGGCCAAACTGATGAGAACCGCCACTCCCCGTGGGCAGGGAGTTTCTCTAGGTTTCTCAAGAGTCAAAAGACATGTTGGAGTGCAAGCTCTGCCACCAGCTCCAGGTCTTTTTTCTAATTTTCAAAGTGGGGATATAGTACTCTCTCCACCCACCTCATAACATTGTTGTAAGAATCAAAATAATATAATTAATGCAAGGGCTCTCCCACCCCAGTTCCCATCTCCCAACAGATCTTGCCTCCCCCTCTCTCTTCGGAGGAAAGAGGATATAATCATACGGTAGGAGAGCGGTGGCAGGGGACTCAGCTCCTAGAGCTATAATGGAGGTCCAATGACACTCCTAGGTTTGGCCTAAGGGGTAAGAGAGAGATTAGAGGAGCGAATATCCCTGACTCGACACTCCCAAATCTCTCGAGATAAAGAAGGGCTGGAAGTGTTGCTTAGTGCGGAGGAGGAGGTGCCTGGGAGTCTTGGGTCCGTCTCCCGTGCTCTTGAAGACTGGCCGCAGGGCCCCTCTCCCCAGGCGCTGAGCTAAGTGACTGCTCACCCCCGGCGTCCTCCCACTTTGCTCTCACCAAAGAAGACCCCCAGCACTGTGCGGTTGCGGCGGGATGGCTGCCCGGCTGTGCCCCGCATGGCGGCGTCGCTGAGTAGGCGCGGGTTGGGCAGCAGCGGCTCCCCCAGAGCCTGGTAAACGCCATCCGCGTAATTGGCTGGCACGAGGCGCTGCAGTCGGAAGCCTGTGGGAAGCAGGGAGCTGGGCTGTCAGAGCACCCCGTCCCCAAAAAGCCCACAAGCTTCTCCCTACGCCTACCTCAAATCCCCATCCTCACTGGCGAGACCCTCTTCGCCAGGGTCTTCTGGCCCCAGGAGTGCGTAGGAGTTCGCTGCGGAGACAGCCCGGCTTCTCCGCGCGGGTCTCCCGCGGCCCGGCCCCCTACCTAATCCCCCCGCCCCCGGACCACAGGACGCACCTGCTGCGCCACGCTCGTGATGCCTCAGGTTGTTGAACCAGCCGTCATAGCGCTGCACTTCCCAGGACAGTGGGAGTGAGTCCTGGCCGCCTGCAGGTCAGAGAACGGTCCCCTCAGCGCTAGCCTCCCTGCGACCGCTCCGGGACGCGACGGCTTCCCCCCCCCCCCCCCCCGCGCTTCTCCGCTCACTGCGCGCCCCCAACCCTACCCGAGAGGCAACCCCTGAGCGGCGTTGTGGCTGCCCTGGGAAGTTTCCCATCCTGCTGAGCGGCGCTGCGATTTGACCGATCTTGTAGCTCACCTGCATCTGTTCCTTCCCCCAGCCTCAGGAGGTACAGGGTGACATCCCGAAGCTAGGGGCACCGGATACTTACCCACTGGATCCAGGGATGCAGTCAGCAGAGCTCCCAGGAGCACCACTGCCTCTGGCCTTGCGCAGAGCATGCTGACCCTGCCGCCTGGGAGGTGGGAGGTGAAAAGTGAGTGACAAGGAGCTGGTGTCCCCCATGCCTACAGCCCGCACTGGGGAGGAGGTGTCTGCTGTTTTCACTTCTGGAGCAAAGCTTTTAGAAACATCACCAAGGACCCACATCGGCATGCCACTCTTCTCAGGACACCTGGTAGGTACTGACACTGGTCCCCACTGTCCACCTGGTGGAAGAACTAACACTGGCCAAAGAACCCCTCCGCCTGCGGCCGCACTAATCTTCTGTAGTTTGTCAGTCCAAGGCAGCACCCCCCCCCCAACTCCCAACCTCCTATCTCCATCCCCAAGCCCTCAGTAACTGCTTCTCCTAGAGGAGGCAGGGAAGGGAAAGCAGTTAGTGAGCTGGGAACCAGGACCTGCAGCCCCTCCTACTCTACTGTGAATGCCTGTGCATGGACAGGAGGGATGGAACAATCAGGCCCCAAACTCCCTCCAACCTCTGGTTTAGGGCCCCTGTCTGGGGTCAGAAGTCTTTCCTCTTGGAATCTTTGCTTCTCTGCCCTCCTCCCAGCCTCCATCTTCCCAACACAGCACCACTCCCACACTCCCAGCCCCTCCGAGCTCTGAAGATCCTCCCCAGCAGCACTCTCACCCTCTTCTCTGGATCCTCTAAGGCCAGCTGCCCTGGTGTCCGCTGAGGTCAGACCAGTGCCAAGTGTCGCATTTGGGCGGGAGGCTAGCCCTCTTACTGTGGAGGCTGGGCTTCCCTCATTTGCATAGTAGCCTCGCCTCTTATTTGCAGGATCTCTTTCCAACCGCACCCAGCTGCCAAGCCCTGACATCTACCCAGCGACCTACCCAGGCTGCTATAAAAGGGCTCCAGGTCCTGCCATGAAAGTAACTGGCTATAGCCAGTGAGAAATAATTCCTCTCTCCCACCTACCCAACCCTGCCTGGGCCAACCTAGAGCACTTGAAGGCAGCCAGCCACTAGGCTTCCTTACGGGCGAGTTGAGCAACTCAGACTTGACCAGCCCATTAAATCCTGTCCAAGAACGCAGGGGACCGGGTAAAGAGAAGTGGGACCTGGGTTCAGTTGCCAGGTTCGCACTTTTCCCTCTCCAGCGGACCAAGCTTGGCCCGTTGCAGCATGACTCTGTGGAATGGTGAGCTGCCTTTCTACCCCCAGCCCCGGCATGCCCCCGGCTTCAGCGTCCCGTTGCTCATCGTCATTCTGGTGTTCTTGGCCTTGGCCGCCAGCTTCCTGCTCATCTTGCCTGGGATTCGTGGTCACTCGGTAAGGGGGTGCTAGATGCTAGGGCTTGAGGGTCATGGGCAGCTTGTCTCTGGAAGACCTAGGACAGGTAATACTGTAACAAGGGCTTCCATGAATAGTCAGATGAAACGTTGAACCAGAGGAGCATAGGTGGAGCAGACCCAGAAGTCTGGGGGCAGCCGGCACCCCTCCTTGCCCAAGGACTGGGAGAGATGGAGACCCTGTATAAGACATTCTAGAGACTGACCCCACCTGGATCATCCAGGAGGCTGCTGCGGAGAGTGGGTGCCCAGTCCAGTAATCCTGGGGCTAATTCTAGTCTTCACATGCTGCTAGAGTCTCCCTCCTCTCCTCAGACTGCGGCTGCACTCCAATCTCAGCCTTCAGGTAATGACTAGGGGACCAAGAGCTGAGACTGCTGTGTTTCACTGGTGTGCTGGGTTGAGATGCATGTGTATGGGTGCTCCCATCCTAAGGACTCGGGGACTTCCACAAATGATTCGAAGTTGTAACAGACTGGGTACTTGTCCTTGGGCCACCCCCCCCTCCTTCTCCCAGAACCTAAGTTGTTTTTCCAGTCTAGGAGTACCTAGCCTCCCTGAGTCTTGATCTGTGTCGGTTTCCTTGGGAAACTGGTGCACCTAAGAATATGTGAGAGGCTGCTTTCCCACCTCCTCTACGACAGGACCCTGGGGCTGCCCTCTCCTGGGGGAGGTGACCCCAGCCTGCCTGGCACTTCTGGACTCACTGAGCCTCATCATAGTAGTGACTCGAGTAGCTGGCAAGACCAGGACCAGGAGCCAGATAGCTGGGGGAGTGAAGGTGATATGACAACACCAGGCAGGGAGCCAGGTTGCAGGGTGGACTGGGAAATGGGGCTAGGGAGGCAGAAGTGCATGGCTAGAAAACATCAGAAATGTCAGTGGCTCAGAGGGACTTGCACAAAAAGCAAGACAGACTTTGGCTTTAAAACCTCAGGAATGTAACTCGGAAAAGGGTGTGGGGCAAGAGGGGACAGCTGCAGGGACACTAAAGATCTGGGTGGCATGGGGTCAAGGGAGGTCTTGGGGACTCTAGTTGGGCAGTTACCAGACCTGACCCAGGTGCTTGTTCCTGCAGCGCTGGTTCTGGCTGGTGAGAGTTCTTCTCAGTCTGTTCATAGGCGCGGAAATTGTGGGTGAGTGTGTGGTGCAGCAGATGGGGAGAGGACCTGGGGTGAGGATGGAGGTGGGCAGAGGGCACCTGGGAAAATGGAGATTTGGGGGTTGTTTCCTGCGCCTTCTTTGCATTCTTCAGCTCTTTCTAGTGCCCACTCTTCCACCCTTACCATGTATACCACCTTGGACCCCTAGACCCTCCATCTCTCTTCACAGTGTCCTACCTGCCATCACCACTCTCCTCATTGCATCTCCCCAATGCTCTCCCTAACTCTCCCCCGACACTGTGTTTCTCCCCACAGCCGTGCACTTTAGCGCACAATGGTCAGTGGGTGGGATGAACACCAACACATCCTACAAGGCCTTCAGTGCAGCAAGGGTCAGCGCTCACGTTGGTCTCCACGTCGGCCTGGAGGGAATTAATATTACACTCACAGGTGAGGGGGCTGGGGCAAAGTGAACTTCTGGATTGGCAGACCCCATGGCTGGGGGAGTGTGGCAGGGGCAGCTGGAGGAAATCTCAGACCCCACGGGCTCGAAGAGTTTTTATTCCTCACGGATCCGTGTTTTCCGCAACCGCTGCCAAACCCATGTCTCTCACACCTCCCCTTTCCTACGCGCACTAGCTTAGTTGCGGTGTCCCGGGTTGTGCGCAGCTCCACTACCCCGGCCGCCCTCCTTTCGCAGGGACCCCGGTGCAGCAGTTGAACGAGACCATAGACTACAACGAGCACTTCAACTGGCGTCTGGGTGAGAACTATGCCGAGGAGTACTCGGAGGCACTGGAGAAGGGGCTGCCCGATCCAGTTCTCTACTTGGCGGAGAAGTTCACCCCGAGCAGCCCCTGCGGGCTCTACCGCCAGTACCGCCTGGCGGGACACTACGCGTCCGCCACGCTGTGGTGAGCGCTGGAGGGAAGGCACCTGTGAGTGAGGGAGTGTCGGGGCGGGGGCGTGTGAGCCAGAGGATGTGAGGTATAGTTACAGCCCTATGGGGCGGGGAGTGAGAATTACCGCTCAGACGGTCGGAACCCAGAGAGCCCCAGCAAAGCCTGGGAGTCGGCTACTCGGCTGGAGGGTTCCCCTGCGCCTTCGCCGTCCCAGCCCCGGCTTTCGTTCTGGGGTAGGGACACAGAGCAAGCGAGGCTGGGGGAAGCCAGCTCACAGTGCGGCGGGCCCCCTCCGCAGGGTGGCGTTTTGCTTCTGGCTCCTCTCCAACGCGCTGCTCTCCATGCCGGTCCCGCTCTACGGAGGCCTGGCGCTCCTGACCACCGGCGCCTTCACGCTCTTCTCCATCTTCGCCTTCGCCTCCGTCTCCAGCGTGCAGCTCTGCCCGCTCCGCCTCGGCTCCTCCACGCTCACCACTCACTACGGCGCCGCCTTTTGGGTCACCCTGGCCACCGGTGAGGACCAAGGGGGCGGATTCCGGGAGGCTGGGCGTGGGAGCTGATGTGTGCTTTTCCCGTTTGCAAAATGAGTTCACATATATTATCTAATTTGCTCCTCTTAATAGTTCCTAGAAGCAGGCAGTTATGCCCATTTTACAGATGAGGCCAGGGGGTTCTGAAGGGTTCGGTGGCTTGCCCCAGTTAGCGCATGAACTCATGTATCACGTGATCCATATTAGAGGTCTTTCTGCCGTGTGGGTTGGGGGAGGAAATGCTAGGGGTAGCCCCCAGGAGATGGAGGGGGGCAGGCCAGGTTCTGGCCTGGAGCCCTGACTACCCTGTTTCTTTTTGTCCGCGCCGCCGCAGGCATCCTGTGCCTCCTCCTCGGAGTGGCGGTGGTGAGTCTCCACTACTCTCGACCCAGCGCTCTCCGCACCTTCTTGGACGGAAGTGGCAAGGACTATGGTAGCCAGGCGAACAACCCACTGCATAAGCAGTTCGGAGCCCTGGACTTAACGACTAGTACTAACCTTTGAGCGTTATTCAACCTCGGACTCCTACCCCGCCTCGGCCCCCTGCAGGCCGGGTAGCAATACCTGCTGCGCTCGGGCCAGGAGAGCTAGCTCCAGGAGGGTCACTGCGCCGCGGGCGCCGGGAAAAGCAGGCGGCCTCAGACGTGCCGCACGCCCACGCCCGGGGAAAAAGGGTCTTCCGAGGTGAGCTGTAAATAAATCCTTTTTCTTTTTCTTTTTTTCTTAAACTTGTTTCTATTACATTCAATGGCTTTTCCAGGCTTGGGGAATATGAGTCCTCGGCCGACTTCCCTGGGTTGGAAGCAGCCTACTACATTCTCTCTGCCTTGCCACAAGGCTCTGGGAGAGGGGCGCCCTCTAGTGAGCCCAAAGGGGAACCCTTCGGAGCCAGCATCTTCCTGAGGTGCCCCAGGCGGATGGCAGGTAGCAGTGACCAGACAGGTCAACCTCCCATTGGCTCAGCTGAGTGGGAGGGAATGGCATTTCTGAGGTCATTTACTAACTCCAGTTTATTCACTAACTAAGAGGTAGTGTCCAAAGGCCAAGGTAGTTGTCAGCAAGGCATAAAAATGTAAATCCTGGGATTTTTTTTTTTTTTTTAGGTCCTTGGCAAGACCTACAATCTTATTTGGCAAATTTGAGAACTGAAGTTTAAGCTTAAAGATAATGTAGCACACTTAGTTAATATAGACCTGGGACAAGAAATTTGGTTTCTTCTGCTGCCCAGGGCTTTCATTGTATCAAGAGATCACACAAGTAAAAGAAGAACAAGAGGGACCCAGGAAAAAGGAAAATAAGAGGTACAGAGGGATGAGGGGGACTACATGGGAATCACACAGTAACCTCCCCCCCCACACACACACACAATATAGATGAAGCTGAGTTTCAATAAATGGCCCCTCAAAGAGGCAAGCATCAAGGGAAGGCAGGGTTGCTGTGCAGAAATGGCCAGCACCTGCTTGGTCTTAACATGGAGACAGGGTTGATAGGCAGCCCCAATGTCTGTTTAGCATATTAGGGCTTTTTGTTTTCGTTTTTGTTTTTACATCAATAGAAAGAGGCTCTTTTTCCTACTCCACCTGCAGATTGAGGCTGGGGACAGATTGGTTTCAACCCATCCTGCAGTCAGTTCTGGCAGGTTTATGGGGCTTCAATGAGATCTGCAACCAGATTGGAAGTCCAGGTGTCCACCAGGGAGAAGCCCTTATAGGGCACAGTCAGACTCTCTGTGATGCTCCTCCTTACACCATGCCTCAGAAGAAGCCTCTGACAGAAGAATGTCCTGGGGCTCAGGACTCTCAGCTGTGGACCGGTATCTGGGGCTCAGGAGTCCCCCTTCCTCAGGATTCCACTCCAGTGAAGGATCCTCCCCTGTACTCTGGTTGAAGAAAGCCTTCAGCCTTTGGGGCTGCATCCTGTGGGCCACTGCCATGGCCAGGCCGAGCAGCATACAAAGCAGTCCTGGGAATGAGACAACAGGTGTCCCGCCTTGGTGATAGTAATGCTGTCCCAAGGACATCTTCTCCCAAGAGCATCAGAACAACTCAAAGAGAATCGCTGGTATCCCTGTTTCAGGGCAACTTGGGCTCAGAGCAGTGACGGACTGAGGGTCATACAGCTGGTGTGGCTCTCTGTTGTTCTGAGTTTTGGGACTCTAAGCCCAGTGCTCTTTGCATTACATCTCAGAAGAGAGAGAGAAAAAAAAGAGAACTCTGAAAACAGAGAACCCTGGGGGAAGGGCAGAACACAGAGGAGGAAGCATGAGAAAGGGCATGAGAGAAGAGGAGAAGAGAAGAAATTGCAGGACAATTTAAGGCTACGTGAGGCAGGGAAAGAGAAGGAAAGCAAAGGAATGGGGGACACAGAGAAGAGTGTTTGGGGGAAGTGGGCAGGGACATAAGACTGGAAGATTTGGGAAAGAGCTGGGTGAAGAGAGAGTTAGGGGATGAGGGAAATGACAGAGACAGAAGACACAGGGAGTAGGCATCTATGGAGGAGAGGCAGGTGGAACTGGGGAGATAAAACCCAGAGATGAGTGATGTAAGAGGGATGGGGCTTTAATGAGAGGAAAGGCATCCTGGTCCCCAGAGGCAGATCCTCAACCCCCACTTATATGGTGGTCCCTGGCCCTCCTTCCCTGGCCCTAAGCCTTCTGGTGTCTGTCTTCAGGGCTGCACCTCACCTGTGGTCAATGTGATCCAGAAGGCAGGCCCATGGTGAGTGTGCAGCGTAGCAGTACCCAGGTGCAGAGCACAGGGTGGTGTGAGTGATGTGGCCGTGGAGAAGAAGAGCAGTCCCAACAGCTGGAAGATGCCTGTGGCCAGCAGCATGTGGCCACCGTAGACCAGCACGGGCATGGACAGCATCACATTGGCCAGCAGCCAGCAGAGGAATGCCACCCTGGAGAGCGAGGACCCAGTGAAGGCTGGCCTGGACACCTCTACTTGGAAGGGCCCAGGTGGAGGCTCAAGGACCCAAAAATATCCCAAAGATGTGAGATAGGGATTTCTGCCTATAGGTTTCCCAACCAAGCACCATGGGGCTGGTGCCACCCTGTCCCACCAGGGATTTCCACATAAGTGGAGGAAGATGGGTAGAAACTCCATTCCTGGGTCTAGGCCAGCAGGGCCTCCATCCCACCCTCACCAGAGCATGGCTGAGGTGTAGTGTCCTGCCAGGCGGTACTGGCCATGCAGACCACATGGACTGTTCGGGGTGAATTTCTCAGCCAGGTAGAGCACGGGGTCCGGCAGCCCCTTCTCCAGTGCCTTTGTATACTCCTTAGCATAGTTCTTGCCTAGGCGCCAGGTGAACTCCTCATTATAATTGATGGTCTCATTCAGCTGTTGCACTGGGGTCCCTGGGGAATAGGGCAGTTGTGCTCAGCAGGAACCCAAGGACCAGAGTGGGCATTTGCCTGGGTAGGGGCTCATCACATTGGGCAGAGGGACAGGAGCTGGTCTCAGTCTCTGGAAATTTCCCTTCCTACCATCCCCCCATCCTGTAGATCCAAATTAGATCCCAAAGACACAGCAGAATCTTCTCCTCCCTCACAGGTAAGAGCCATTCCTCACCTTTGAGTGTAATGTTGAGTCCTCCCAGACCAACCTGCAGCCCCACATCAGCGCTGATCCATTCGGAACTGAAGGCTTTGTATGATATGTTGGTGCTGACCTGGCCCACGAACCACTCAGAACTGAAATTCACAGCTGGGGTGGGGAGTTGGGCATATGGGAACTCAGGAAGGTCCAGGCATTCCTGGGTTAGAGTCAGAAGGAGAGCTACAAGGGGTCTAGGTCTGTTTTGCTCTTAACTGTATATCTGTTGACTAGCTCAGGGTCTGGCTCATGGTTAGTTTGTCAACAGTATATTTGCCCAAGATGAATAAAGAGGTCAGAATCCAAGATTTCCTTTGGTGACAGTCTGCTTATGCCACCCCCCCTCCCTCCCCTGAAGCAGAAGATGCCATGAAGAAACAAGGAGAGGACAGGCTGACTGCCGAGGGAACTAGATGGGACAGAGGCAGTTGACCAGGATTATACTCACCCAGGATCACAGCCCCAATGAATAAGCTGGTCACCACCCGCAACAGCCAGAACAGCCTCTGAGTCATAGGGTGGGTGGGTTTAGAAGGAACACCCTCCTTCCAAATCCACCCTTCCTCTTTCCAGACTTGTGTGTGTGTGGTGGTGGTAGGGGGATGTTCTAAAACTGAGGTCACTTGGTCAGTTGTGATCAAAGTGCCTGGCATGTAATAGGTGCTCAATTACTATCCATTGAATCAATGAGTAGGGAACTTCCTCCTGGGGGTGGGGGTGGGTGACACTTTCTCAGGACTGGAGTCTCCTTCCTGAGTCTGGTTGTAGCCAGAGAGTCTGGCCCCCTCACCTTGAGGCCAAGATCTCTCTGGGGCTGGGGTCTCCAGGGTTGGGCTTGTTTCTCACCATCTTGCCCCGAATGCCAGGCAGGATGATGATGAAGGTGACCAGTGCGGTCACAAAGATGGTAATGACGACGGCCAAGGTGGTGTCCATTGGGAAGATCAGCTTGTGGCCCACATAGAAGGGGAATGTGTGTCCCAAAGTAGCCATTTTGCTGGGGTTGTGCAGGGGAGGCGTATGCTGTAGGACAATAGATGTGTATGTCTAGGTGCCAAGCACTATTCTTGGTGCTGAAGATACAGCAGAGCATAAACCAGACCGCGTCCCTCATCTCTGGAGCTCACCAGATGATACCGCTCCTGCCATTCGGCTGCCCCTCTGCCATTCATTTCCCTACGTTTTGACTGTGAGGGAATGGGGGTCTTGGCAATCAGTCTCTGTTGCCCCATGCTCCTTTCCTAACCCGTAGGTCCCCTAAATCAGGGCCACAACCACCCTCGAGTCTTCTCTGCTTCCTCTGGGACTGTCTTAGGAAATATAATTCTCTTTTATCTTTCTCAGACCTCCAGCACAATCAGACAGATCACAGGACATAAAAAGATCTATGTTTACTATCAAGTGAAGGCATAAGGGTGAAAGATGGTACAGATTACATCAAGTGGCTTTCCTTCTCAGTCCCCAAAGGAACAAAAGCCAGACAGCTCTGCTAAGTATCTAATCCAACTACATTATCAGAGGGCTGATTCCCAGTCCTGGCACTCCTCGGACTGGTCTGTCCAGCTTTCTCAAGCACCCTGGCTCCTACTCTGGCAACTCTAGAATAAACAAAATCAAGTTCACTTCATCTTACAGTCGATGAACCCAGCTCTACCAATATCCCTGTGTGTGATCTGTACTGGGGCCTTGGTTTGCCTGGGAGGCTCCATTATTTACAGTCTGACCTGGTAGTGTCTTGTTAAGCGATGCAGTGAAACAGTAAGTTTGGAGTTGTGCAGCTCTGTGTCTGAATTCTGCCTCTGCCTCTTGCAAGTTACTTGGCCCCTACAGAAACTTGGTTTTTTTACAAAATAGAAATGATAATATCTACCTCGCAGGGTCATTGTGAGTGTGAAACAAGATTGT